TCAATTTTTATTTAAATTAAGAACAATCTTATTTCACATGCCAATCCCAGTTCCCTCTCCCTCTCATCCTCCTATGCCCCTCTACCCCCATCCCAGCTCCCATCCATTCCCCAGGTCTCCCACGAGGTTGTCATCAAAGTCTGACACATCATTTGGAGCAGGACCTAGGCCCTCCTCCATGCATTTAGGCTAAGAGTATCCCTCCATAGGGAATGGGCTCTCAAAGCCCATTCATGCACTAGGGATAAATACTGGTTCCACTGCTAGAGGCCCCAGAGACTGCCTAGGTCTCCTAACTGACACCCATGTTCAGGCGGCCTTCATGCCCATCTTTAACACAGAGGGAAAATCTGCTATTCAGCATGAAGACAGGGGCTTTAATAATATCCCAATATAGGAAACAAGGATGATCAGGGAACATTTTGTGTCTGAAATGCTTAAATTGGGAAAGTTGTTTTTAAAGGGAAACAAAAATTTTCACAGTCTTGCTTATGAGGATGTGGGGCATGAAAGTTGATCAGACAGTATGAATGTTGCAGAAGTGGACAGAAACTGAGAAATATAAAAGCTTATCTCTCCTTGAGATAATGACTACACAATTGAAGGCAATACAGGGTAAATCAGTTTCTCATGGAATGGTTCATCTGAGCCATTAGGAACACTTGGTTGTCACTGGTTGAAGTTCCAATAAAATATTAGGAGCTAGACGACATTCGAGGAAGGACATACATTACTGAGGAAACTGGGTATGCTATCCATCATGTCCAGATAAGATTGTGTTTACAGAACAGTTGAAAAAGAACTTAATTCAGCAGGGTCTTTGGGAATGGAATGGAGTGGTTTCCCTGAGGGTCGTGGTGGGACATAATCTATATGAGATAGGAGAGGCCTTGGCAAATCACAATGATTTATACTGTTATGTAAATTGGGCTTATAAAGTGCGTAAGCAATCAGGAGAATGTGAGAAAAAAATAAAATCAGACAAAAGAGGCTATTCAGGTCATTGGAAAGCAAATATGACTATTGATGTGGAGCCAAAGTTCCTAGAGAAAAAAAAAAGGCAAACAGCCAAATTCACTGTTCAAGAGCCTGGAGACGGCTGAAAAGCAAACATTGGTTTACTGGAGTAATGAAGGAAGATGTAAATGGCAGAGCAGCAAAGGTGAAAATGATCAACTCATCCCAGAAACAGGTAATTATTCTCCAGAGTATGGTTATACATTTCTCAACGGGTTATAGAGGTTTTTTTTTACCTAGTCAAGTATCTTTTTAGCAGCCAGATGTGGCCAATGGAAAGGCAATGGCCACCCACAGTGTCAACCCAGAGCCTGTGGGATTCAAGACACCAAAGTCAGGGGAGCAGCTAGAGAACAGCGTGTTGGTAGTGAGTATAGCATAAACTGAGAACTTAGGGTGTGAGGTGTGCTGTGTACCGCACCGAGGACTAGGACAAAGAGGCAGAAAAGTTCATGGGGAAAGACTGTAGGTACAGAAAGCTAAATAACATAGTGTCTCCCAACTGAGTGTAGTTTCAGACATCTGTAGTCCCAACATCTGGGAAGCAAAAGCAAGAGCATCATGGCTTTAAACTTTTTCTTTGATGCTTAACAAGTTCAAAATCCACCTCAGATCCCATGAATCCCCATGACAACCATGATCACCACCACTAAAGAAAAATAACACACAGTATCTCCCAGCCATACACTGCTATACCCAACATCACTCTTTTGAGGAAACAATTGTTATAAGCACTATGATTTTGTCATGTTGTAGTGGATCCTGATAATATGTATGTTTAGTAAGTAAGTCCTTGGCTGATGAACACAGAGACACACTGGCATTTGCTTAGAATGGTGAGGACCAGACCTTCACAGATTCTTCCCATGCTTTATAAAATGATTTCATTATTTAATGCCCAACTTAGAGATTTAGAAAAGTGTTTGGAAGGTAGAAAAGTGTTTGGAAGGATTTAGACACACCTAAAAGTAAGGATGGGAAATCAGCTCACATAGAGGGCAAAATCCAGACCAAGCACAAATGATATCCAATAAGGTGGGAGAAATCATACAATAGCTGAAAATGCTAAAACAATAGTTAGAGTTTTAACAAAGGTACTTTGTGAGGTGGGAAAAGGCATACTCAAAAATCAAGGAAGTTTAAAAGAAAATTCTGATAAGAAAAGTTAGATACCTCCCCATGAGTTGTTGACCAGGGTTTCCTCTGAACCTCTGCCCCCACCACCACCAAAATGTTACCACTGTTGATTGCATGCCAGAAGAATGCAGTAAGAGAAGGGTCTATTGCTGATACACTTACGTTTTGTCTATCAGACTTGGAGAAATCAAGCTGAGACTGAGTTGAAAGCTCTGTCACTGCCGACTAGTGTTGCGCCTGCCTCGACCAGCAAGGAAGACGCACCGCTCAGACTCTTCTTTAAGCAGTTTATTCAGGAACCTTGAACAATCTTCTGATCCCGGGGAATGCCCACCCATACCTTAAAAGCCCTTGGGCGGCCAACCCCAGTATGCCACGTGGAACATGCAGATAGGTCCACATACACAGAAGCAAGCCTGATATCCAGTCTTAACCAAATACAGGTGGGGTTCTTAAGGAGTTGTTTATCATAGAGAGCACCTGCTGTCGGGCTAGCAGAAGGCGGCAGAAGCCAGCAACATCGTAAGGGTGCAGCACTTTGCAGCTCTCTACAGTTCCCCTTTTCTGTTTTAAACGCAACAGGCAAGAGTAGAGGTCTGATCTCTGACATAGTCAGGGACATTGTACTGATTTCTCATTTTGGTATCATCCACCCAACGAGTATCAGACCCGGCCGATACCCTTTTTATTTCAGAGGCGGGACGTTTTTTGGGTACCAACCCGCATGCAATCAGACATGCTCTTCTCCGTGTCACTGTTAGCTGACACAGAGTGCAGTGCTCTGCCTCACATCCTGAGCACATTTAATCTGCTCTTAAGGTAGCCAACCATGCCTGGGGGGGACTGTCCTGCTTCAACAGCGGTAAAGGCCTGAATGATCATGGCTGCATTGCGTCTTTGTGTGACTCTAATCTTACATAGAAACCACAAGCAAACCAGGGAGACCAACACCAAGAGACCTGTTAATACTCCTATACCCGCCCACTCCTTAAGATGGTTCATTGCAGAAGTCAGTCAGGACGATAATCCCGGTGCAAAGGAAAGGTCCACTCTGGTGGAATTCACATGGACCACTGCCAGCCTCAACTCCTTCAAATTCAAGTGACCAATTCTATAAAAGAAAACTAGACAAGTACTTAGACAAATTTGCAGCTTTTGCAAAATTGGCATACTGAGCAGATGACATGCACAAGCCAAACTGCTCCAATCACTAGGTATCATACAGTGTCTGTTAAGAGCCTCAACCTGAGACAGCGTAAAGGAAGCTGTTACGCCATAAGCACGAACTGACTCGGCCAAAGACTTCACTATCTTAAAATCCAATGGCTCATGATATCTCTGTCCTTGCTGATCTTGGAACACAGGGTAAGCAAGCCGCAATTCCGTACGAACTTGCTTCCATATCCCCGGACAAAAGGACCATCCAGAGCATGGACCCTGAGTAGGCTGTTCCACTTCCGGGTACGGTGGTGGAGCAGTAGGTCTGCAATGGCCCTTCACTTCAATACCTGTCATAGTTTTTTTCTTTTTTCCTTTTCTTTTCCTTTTTCCTGCAAGCCACTTGCATGGGTGGTAGACTGGGTAGCATTTAATGAGTTCGCAGTGGAAAAAGACATGCCAAAGCCTGCAGTGAGGGAGGGGAAAGCAGAACATTGATCTCAGCTGGCCTGTGCTTCTGCTTGTACAGTTACCTTTAATGGAAGACACCCTTGAACAGCAGTGGAGGCTTCTGGGTACAGAGAAAAGTACTGCAATGAGCAAATTGGCTACACCTGGCTGCATGGTTTGAGCCAACCCATCTGAGCCTGCCCAGCAATAAGCCAAGTGAAGAAACACCTGAGTGACCCTTACATTAAACCTGGAAAACTCATTTTGACACACGGTACAGGGTTTTTATAGTGAAAAAGCTCCCCCTAGTATCCAAATCTCTGGCGCTTTCATGTAATTTAAGCTGGAAAATATACCAAAGCCTGGATCGTTCCTCAGTCTCATGCAAAATCAAGATCTCCCTAACTTCTCCCATGAAGGGATACTAAGACTCCCGGCCAAAAATCTCTCTAAAGTACTTTTCTTTATTTTTAAGTTCTTAGAACGAAGCAGCTCATTCAGAGCCAAAAAAATTGGGTGCGACTGAGAAGCGCCCATATCCAAACTAACAATGTTTCTTTTAAGCTTTTACTTTCGGTTCGCTGCTAGCCCATTAGTCAATTATAAACAAGATGGGAATTAGGACGCCGCTCATTCCAAACTGCTTCGTGCTGGAAGGGGGGCGATGTTCATACCATGGAGTTCATGACAGAAACTCAGAAACCTGTATAAGTCCTTATTTTCCTGGTCTGTAAAGCTCCATCATCTTAGCTGTCTCAATTGTTGGAACACCTGGCCCACTGCTTCCGGGGGTCTTGGTTCATCAAACCACAGAAGCCTGGAAGGAATCCTCAGCCTTTCATTTTCTGTAGAAACATAAACTAAAACTCTTTTCCAAAGTAAAATATCCTTATACTTAAATTTTGAAGTCAAGGCATTTTCAAAAGATAAGTTGAATTAATTTAGCAGCATTAATAATCAAGTGTATTTTAGCAGTTGTTCCTTCCTGAGCAATCAAAAAACTGAAAAACACAATAGCGTACAGCATCCAAACTTTCTGTGTATTTTTCATCTTTACGTGGCTTCTTTATTTATAAACTAACAATATTTCTTTTAAGCTTTTACTTTCGGTTCGCTACTCCGCGAACCGTTTGTCCTGCTCTCTCTTTACCTACAGAGAAGAGCAAACCAACCTGCTCTTGTTGCAGTCCCTTTTTTAGTCCGCTCTTGTCGTGGTCCCTTTTTTTGTCCCACCTTACCTTGGGAATTTACCAGCACGCTGCCCTGACTGCAGAAAGTTCTGAGTCCATTAGAGAGGTTCCCTGTACGAGCCACCACTTGTCGCGCCCAACCTCGACCAGCAAGGAACATGCAACGCTTGGACTCTTCTTTAAGCAGTTTACTCAGGAACCTTGAACAATCTTCTGACCCCGGTGAGTGCCAACCCACACCTTAAAAGCCCTTGAGCGGCCAACCCCAGTATGCCACGTGTAGATAGGTCCACGTACGCAGAAGCAAGCCTGATAGCCAGCCTTAACCAAATACAGGTGGGGCTCTTAAGGAGTTGTTTATCACAGAATGCACTTGCTGTCGGGCTAGCAGAAGGTGGAAGCCAGCGCCATCTTAAGGGTGCGGCACTTTGCAGCTCTCTACAGACTAGTTTTCATAGTAATTGAACGGCACCATATAGGCTACTGTATGTGTAGGGGTGATTGTCACCAATAGTCCTGCTACACTATGGACCCTATATGATATAATACCTAAGTGACAGGCAGAATGTGCAATAGTTGTATGACTGGCCTAATGGTGGCACAACTGTAATGGGTATGACCAACTACATTCTAATTAGATTTAAGGCCTATTCCACAGAAGGGACCTATGCTTGGTACTGTAAAAAAAATCTGTGACTAAAAAGATTGCAGGCTCTATTGGGGAAACCATTTCTTTTGTTAAGTGGATACGATTTGCCTACCAAATTACCTTCTAAACATTTATGTTTATGCCATAGATTATTACTACAGAAACTGCTTTTTGTAGCAGGGGTATGTTACTTCAAAGACTGGTAACCTAAAGTGCTGATGATAAATGAGCATTACTGTAGTACAACAGCTCAGTGCTTAGCTCTACATGGGAGGAAATAACCATACAACTGCATCACTCCAAGTCTCAGGGAATATTGTAGAAAGGGGAACAGAAAGAATGTTAGAACAGAGGAAGGGGTGGATCAGTGGGGAAGATTGTCCTGTGGGTGTGAGATGGACAGTGTCATTTTGAAACTACCCACACAAGACCTTTACAAGACTGGGCCTACTGCCCTTTTCTTGTGGAACTGAAGGAGAATTCATGGGCCAGAGCATGTGTCTTTTGATCTCCTTGGTGATATACAACTCTCAACTCTCTTCAGTGGTGTAGCTAACTATAAATTATCCCAGTTCCTGAACCAATCCTTACTTCATACTTCTTTAACCTCAGTTAAATTCACTGGTTCACCAAGCTAGACTTGAGAGAGATCATCTCTTGGTCTCTCATCAGTGCTGTCTCTGAAGTGAATAGATGCTTATTCACATATCCCCAGGAAAGATCACACAATGTTAATTATCATTTTGTTTTAGAGGATTTTTCTATTTTAAACAAAAAGTTTTGTAATATATCCCAGTCCGGTCTTGAACTCATGATCCTCCTGCCTCAGTCGCCGATGTACTGGAATTACATTGTGTGTCACCACGTATGACTCAAGTTGTTATTCTTCCCTCTTTCATTGTATTCCAATTTCTGAGATGTCCATTAATTGACTTTATCCACACTAGCCCACCATAATCATATTCTTTCAAGCTCTTTCTTTTACCCTCTCCCCCCCCCACACACACACCACATTCATATATTGCATTCACCTCATTGAGCCAGGTTCAGGTCTATCATCAGATTTTCCTTCTTCTTAAAGAAAACAAAGGAAATCCAAGATGATGTAACCTTAGCAAGCTAGCCATACCATGGCTTTACAAAAAGAGACATCAACTATCCAAAATATGTTTAGGAGGGAGAAAGAAGGCAGGTTGGTAAGATCCATGACTTCAAGAATAAAAAAGAAATTATTGGGGGAAACAGTACATGTCTTAATAAACAGCTTATCTCACTTTTATAAGAGTTGTCATAAAATAATTTAAAATTAGAAAAAGAAAAAACACAGCACTTAAGGGTACTTAATTGTGAAATTAATTTAGTGACTCTTTTCTCCAAGCCACCATAATAGATAAAGAAACTGATACCATCCATAGCAGATTCCAGATTAACCTTGCTAACCTCCATCACTACTGAGTCTGGAGAAATAACTCTTCGTCACTGGAGACTGTTTTGTGCACTATAGGCTATTTAACATCTACCCACTACGTGCCTTGTATCCTTCTTCCAGTATGACAAACATGTCTCCAAACAATGTGCTTAAGGAGGCAAAACAGCTTAGAGCCATCCTCACAGATGCCAGGAAAAACTTCTTACTCTATTTCAAGGGTCAGTAAACTATAGTCCCTGGACTTTGAAAGAAAAGCCATTGCATACTTCTGTAAATGAAGTTTTATTGGGACACAGTCACACTCATTCAATCTCATTGTTTGTGGCTGCTTTTTCACTAACAAAGCAAAGTTGGATAAGGGTAATAACGATTGTCTGATCAACAAAACCAAAATGTCTACCATCTGGCTGCTATCAAAATCTTTGCCAACCTCTATCCAAGTTTGCTAGCTTCAAATATTTTCTCAGTTATAACTTTTTATAATGAATTTTTGCATAGAACTGCCAGACATAACAGGGTAATTTGAGAAAGTAAAGTATATGTTACATAAATAAGGCAGTGATTTCAAAGGCAAGCAGCATGTAGCAAAACAACAGTCCAAACACTGGACCTTACTGGTTTCTTAACGTCTGAGGGACAGAAAAGCAAGATTGCCATGTAAAAATGAGATAGAGAAGAGATGCCTGGCCACACAGCGTCCTGCCCCAATTCATCTTAGTGCCCATAAGTGGCAGATGCAAAAGGGCAAAAAGAGCCCAGTGAAGCTCTGTGCCTCAACATCCTGAACTGTGTGCCCAGCTTCACTTATGATATGTTTGCATAATTGTCTCTTCAGCTATTGCTTCCATTTCCTTTACTTTGCCAGTTGTGACAAGTCTACAGTCACCTATACAGTCAAAGTCAGGTCAAAATGTGGCCAAAGCTATTCCAAATATCTCATCCTCCCAACACAAGATAGGGGAATAGGGAGTTGGAGAGGAAAGGCTTTCTTATCTGCTCTCGCATTTTGCAGGGAGAAAGATAATTTCTAGAAGCTCCAAGTACATGTCTTCATTAGTAGTAATAGCCCAAACTGGATAGGATGTCTTTCCAGAGACCTATCCCTGAGCAAAGAGGGTAATGTCTTAGTCACTATTCACATGGATATGACAAATACTTTGACAAAAATAACTAAAAGAAGGAAGGGTTTATTTGGGCTCAACATCTGAGGTGACAGTTCATCACAGTGGGAAAATCACAGCAGTTGGTCACATTGCATCCACCTCCGCCAGGAAACTGATAATAATAATGATTGCTTACACTCAGCTTTCTTTCTGCTTTTCACATAGTCTAGAGTCCCAGCCGAAGGAATGGTGCTACCCACAGTGGAATAGTCCTCCAACCTCTTTTAAGCTAATCAAGATCATTCCCATGGGCACACCCAGAGGCCCATCGTCCAGGTGGTTATAGAGTTGACAGTTGAGATTAACTATCACAGATGGTCATGATTGGGTGCCCAGACTTTTGCTCAAATATTATTTCGGGTGTGTCTATGAGGGTGTTTGGAAGAGTTTAACATTTGAGTCAGTAGACAAAGTAAGCAGATTGTTCTCACTGATGTGGGTGGCCTCGTACAATCTGTTGAAAGCCTGAACAGAACAAAAAGGCTTGAGGAAGGGAGACTGCCTTCTGCCTGTTAGTATTCGAGGTGGGACTTTGGATTTTCCCTGCCTGCAGATTTGAACTCCAGCATGGGCCCTGCCTTTTAAACAGAACTATGCCATCACCAACCTGGTCTTCAAGCCTACTGGCTACAGGTCTGGGAACTTGTTCAACTCAACAATCACATGAACCAGTTTCTTACACTTGGTTATGTGACAAATGTATGTATTCTACTTATTGTTTCTGTTTCTCTCAAGAAGATTAACTGATATAGTCTTCTAATTCTGTTCTAGAATTTTCAAGCCCAAGTTTAACATTCCTAACAGATGTAACATTGAGAGCTTCCAAGTGGAAAACAAAGTCGAAATTTTGTTTTCCCTTATTCACCCATTGACTTATCAATAAAAGTATTTGGAGTTTCAACTACGTGCTAGGTTTGCAAAATTCATTGCTAGCTTCAAATAGTTCACTGAGTACTAATGGCAGCAGACATGTAGCAAAAGATAAGTTAGAATTTAATAACTATAAAGCAAAATAGTGGACCGGAGCAAACTAAGGTGGGGGTAGAGACTGCTGTTTTCTGAGGAATAAGACTTAACAAACATGGGGTCATTGGGCAAGGGAGGACTTTTTCCTGGAAAAGAAAGTATTGCAGGCAACTTATAAAATATGTACAATAGCTGTAAAGTGAAAGCAGTCAGATTTTCAAGAACAGCAAGGCTTTATTCAGTTTTAAAAGAATACATGATATGAAATCATTGCCTTTTATGGGCTACCACCATTTTCTCTCCTAACTGATTAAAAACTGGGGTATCCTTAGTATCTTTCTTCACCCCCATTTCTTCCTAAGAAGCACTGGTTAGCTTCCAGTTTATGATGTATGTTTTTAGGAAGAGTGGAGAGACAGTAGACAAGAAAAATTATTCTTAATTTCAGATTTTTGCTGTTGCTGGTGGTTCTCTTTTTGCTTGAGGTTAACACTGCTGAAAAAAGTAGGTGCATTGGTAAACTCCATTTAAATAACTATTATGTTCTTCTTGTGAAGTGAGAGAAATAGTTTCTTTTTATTTCTCTTTCCTTTTTTTTTCAGCACTGGGAGTCAAACCCCAAGCCTGTTTCATGCTAAGCAAGTGTTTTGCCACTAAGTTAAACTAGCTTATATCTGAATTGTTTCCATTTTTATTTAAAACACAATAATTCAGTAGCTAAAGCATGTGGTTTACCACTTAATAAGCATTCAAATCACCTTCCTAAATAGGAGGAACATGGTTCCTTTCCTCCAGTCAAGACAGAAAGTCTGTTAGCCAGTGGAACACCGTCTTGTAAAGCTCCTTCATTTGGGCTGAAATTTGACATATTTAAACTACAGTAATTTTGTTTCTAGAATTTAGTAGGTTGTTTGTCTCCATTCTTGCCTTCCTCACCCTTACAGGTGACTCAG